AAAGAAGAGAAGGCATGGAATGCCTAGCCAGGAAAATGGGTGTAAGAACACAAGAGATTGATGCTGTACTGGTCCACTAACTGACTTTTCCAAGTTAAAGAAAAATGAAGGAAGTAAACAATATGTAAAGGAACAAAATAGGCAGAGAATGTGAGTAGGAAGAGAGACAGTTAAATCAGTGGATTTTTGCTTGTTTCAACAAAACACAGGTGTTTCTCCAAAAGTTATCTGAGGGCTGTCAGTTTAGATGTGGGTGCTAAAGAAACAACAGTAACAGAATTTAATCTATTTGCTGCCCGAGGTTCAGCCTTGTAATCAAGGCATGATTGCAGTACAGATAGACAACAGCTAAAAATAGGTACATATTCACTTTGCTAGCTTCCACTGAAACCCATGCTGCTGCATCTACACTGCTAATTTTTAGCTGTACTAGTATGGGTAAAGATAATACAGGTATGGCGTACTGCAATCACACCGTGAACTGCAGTGTGGACATAGGGTATTTGCCTTCGTAATGCAGGCTAATTTAAAATGCCAAAGCAGCAGATAATTGATGATTTTCATAAATACCAACGCACAATGCATTCATATTTGCATCATAGTTTTACTATCAATTTTTCTTCATTTATATTGTTGGATAGCACACTGATCCTAGATCTTTAAACTGTGCTTGTTACCATTTTAGTGAAGCGCTATATTCTACACTGTCTTTTAAAGAACAAGAATAGATTATATGAGCTAAGTGGACTGTGTAACACTATTTCCTCTTTACCTCTTTACAGAATTAGATACTCGGAAATACATATTGTCTTTCAGAACTGTCCCAGACTGGTTCCATATACAAACAAGCATATGAAAATCTATGACAAGACTAGAATAAAGGAAAAGAAAATCAACTCCTTTACTAGACAAAATATTTTAACTTATGTGCTCAGTGGAACTAGATGACAATAAAGCAGACAGTCTACATAGCACTTTTATCAATTAGAACCATTCCCCGAACTGTATTCTATGAAGTGATCTATGGACAAAGCCACTACGGTGAAGATGAGTTTGTAAAGTCACCACCAGGCAGGAAACAATGCAAAGAATCCACATGGAATTTTGCCCTTTTAAATGTAATGTTATGCTGAATCCCCAAAAAAGGTTTCAGAATTAAAATAACTTATTCAGAATATAATGCATAGGATTTCCCAGAGATTACTAATATAGAAATACAATTACAACTCTTGACAAATCATCCTGTCACTAGCCATAGACTTTAGTCCACTTGCATTAAGTGCCTGAAGTACATCCAGCAGGGTACGGGTTGAAGACTCATGGTAAATTAAGATAAAGAAAAAGGCTTTGGCATTTGCAATCCCATTGTTAATCCTTGAGATTAAAAGTAGTACAGTAGTTCACACATATTAAGGACAAATCATGCTTTTTTTCTCTCCATAGAAGAGCCCTCGAGTAGCCAAATCTGTGCAATTTCACCATACAAGATTTGGGAAGTCTATGTAGTGGCTGAACACTCCCTAACCTCCCAACACACATACCGGGTTTAAACAAATCCAGTTCCACAATAGTATCATATCATATTAAGCTGGTATGTGGGGGCCTGCTGCTGTATCAACTACAACATGGATCCATGAACTCTCTATCCACAAACTGTGCACCACAAGTTGGCTAGAGGCAATCCTAGGGCCAGAGTAACATTAATGGAAGAGTTCCAATGCTACAAAGAGGCCTAAGATTTTTTTTCCATGCCCAGAGGAACACTTCACCACACAACCTGGTTGCTTAGACTAAGCTAGAGCCAGGTTTTTTTGGGCCTTAGGCAGTTTCTATTATTTCAATTTGTTATGCACACTCAGGAAATTCATGGTATCAGTTTACATTCAGAAAGTTTTATTAACTACAAGATTGACTATTTTTAAAAAAAGTTTAAATTCTGCAGAAACTTATGGAAACCCCCCTAGCACTCTCTCGACTCATGAGGGCCCTCAATATCAGCAATGGATTTGTTAAGTCTAGCAACTCTATCTTAGTTACCAAGATGGAATACTAGATGTGAAATTAGGTGCATGTGTTTGCTCTCAGGACTCTGTGCTACGTATTCTGGTTCATGTTTCCAATTCTGTTCCCCGCCCCATGCCATGTGTGCATTTCTGAAAGGTGCCAGTGGTTTATTCTGAAACAGCCCTTCTTATTTTACTAACTGAAAAGGTCTGTGTTTCAAGAATGGTTGCCTAAATGCATCTCAGATCCTCTGAGGTAAGGGAGTAAGCAGCATTCTGTACTGACTCACTTGAAAGACTCAAACTTGACAGGAAAAAATAAAAAAGGACTTCTAACAGACAAGTGCCAAATCAAAGTTATTCTACATAAACAGAAGAGTATATGTGAACCCTAAAATATTATTTCATACTTAGCTTCTGATAGAAATACAATGAAGAAGTGAGAGCCAATTTATTTCTCTGTACCACATAATTGACATACATCTGCACATGCATTCTTGTTTTAAGCTACTTTATCCAGTGGTGGATTAGCCAGTAGGCCAACGGGGCTGTGCCAGGGGCCCTGGCCAATTGGGCGTCCCCGCATCCTGCCCCCGCCGTTCCTGCCGGGGAGTGGGGTTGGGGAGCAAGGGATGCCCCTGCACCCCAACCCCATTTCCCCAGCAGGAGCAAGGGGGGGAGGACTGGGGGTAATTGCAGGTGGAAGGGATGGGGAGAGGCCCCCACTTGCTCTGGCCCAGGGCCCCACAAAACTTTTAGCCGCCTCTGACTTTATCAGAAGAATAAAAGCACACGTGATAAAGGCTGCTGATGGCAAGCTACAAGTTGTCATAAGTATGACTGGTATAGACAATAATAGCAATTACCGGAGCAACTCGCATAGAAAATTCAGTTTGATCTCTGTCTTTAAAAACAGCAAAGAGTCCTGTGGCACCTTATAGACTAACAGATGTATTGGAGCATGAGCTTTCATGGGTGAATACCCACTTCGTCGGATGTCTTTAAAAAGGTTTTAATAATGTCAGGAATGACAAGGGATTGCAGGATGTTATAAAAATTGTGCTGTTTGGAGTGCACAGCTATAGTGGAGAACTTTGAAAAAAGTTAAGTCAGCAAATATTTTAATAGCAACTAGTGATCAGGTGGGGTATTAAAGGAACTTTTGCTTCACCATGATCCTTTTTATTGGCAGAGGCCTCATTTTAAGCCTTAGTTTATAGTTTCCTTAGCAAAACACCTTAATTTGAGATGTGAAACGAGTGAGGCAGGCTAGGACTTCTTGAGGCTGTTTACACTAGACAGAGGTCCAAGTAAGACTTTCTTCCATTTGTTTTGTTTTCCGGAGATTTCCAATTCACAGCCAAAATGATTTCCCTAAATGTGTCTCACTGTCCTAGGTCTCTCAGCCATAACCTCAACACCACACAATAGCGGGGGACCCAACTGCGGGGTCGGAGGGAAGAAATCGCCTCCGAGATGACAAGGGAATAATAGCGATACATGCTGTATACACAGACATCCCCCCAGCACCGATCATCGCCCTCCCAGGCGGCTAAGGGACACCGGCCCCCGCAGCGCTCCGCTCCCCCAAACCCGACCTAACGCTCGGGCAGCTGCAGCCAGGAGCGGGCACAACTGTACGAAGCGCCCGACTCGCCTGGGGCCGCCTGCCGGGGAGCTGGAGGCGCCTGCGGCGGGGCGAGGAGCGGCCTCCCCGCCGCCCGGGTGAGCCGAGAACCCGCAAGCCGGTCGCAGGCCCCGCACGCCCACACACGGCCCCGCCCCATCCGGAACCCGGCACCTTCCCAGCCCCCGTCGCCTCAGCGCGCGGCGGGGGGGCAGGGCGGGGTCCCGGCGGCGACGCAAGCCCCAGGGGTCCAACGGCAGTTCGGGATGAGGGCTGACAAGACCCCGTAGGAGGAACGGCGGGCAGGGGAGCCCCACAGCCCCGGGAGCCCCTGCCTGGCAAGGGGCGGGGACGCGCTGACACTTACT